TCAAAATGAATGAAACAGTTACCGCAGTATCTATTTTTTTGCTGGTTCACTGGTAACATCCCGATGAAGGCACTTGCTTTGGCCGGCCTGATCGCCTGCAACTGCTCGTACTGCGCAAGCAGTGTTTCCATAGTCGTATCTGCGCACTGCAATAACAGGCGATTCAAGGAAATGAGCACAGCGCAGTGTTCGTACAAAGCCTTTGGTTTTTAAAACGATGCATCAACTATGCACAGCTGCGCGAATCATTTGGCCAGGATAGTGCAGCAAAAAATTAAGTAAAAAACAGCATTTGGCTCGCAAGAAACTAACGTAGTTGACGAACTGCTTCATTCGTTTTTGCATTTGGGTTTCGTAGGAAAATTCAACGGCACTGCTCAGTTGTGAGGTCGGTGAATCTTCCTGAGTTACTAGTATCGTCGCCACGCTTCTATCACTTTTCACGATCTGCAAGTATTTAGTTGTGTTGTTCTCCCCAAATAATTATTACCCATATCCTGGCACCATCCTATGCTCCAGACAAACCAGTACGTTAACTAAAATTATATCATTCCAAAAGACACTGTTTTCCTGATGCCATTGTGTAAAATTTTTCCAAAATCACATCAGTAGGAACTGAATGCAGGTTGATACAAACCTTATAGGAAGTGGATTTCTGCGTTGGGGCAAATGATGGCATTTCTTCATCATCTACAGATTTTTTTATTGAGCGGTCTGCAAAAAGCATAACAAAAGAAGACAGACAAAAAGGGAGAGAACTGAAACTCTCGAGGATGTCCTGCTAGATCGGGTAGCACCACTCTTTCCTACATGCTGTGTTGGGTGTTTGACTTGATAAGTGGCAAAACCAAGGAATGTAGCAGACAAACGAATTTAAATTTAGAGTGTTTCATTTTTTTTTCAACATCATTATAGCAATAAATTATTAAAAGATGCAAAATTTTGGAACCTCCTAATTATTGGAACAAAAAGATAATAATTAGCGGAACGCAGCTGTGCTCCGCCGCAACTATACTTTTT